CGCTACACATAAAAACTGATGATGGTGGAAAAATACACCGAAACGTATTTTGATTGATAAATAGAGACAATAAATGACTGAAACCCAGTAATGAACTTGATTTGGAATTGAAACACAGTCAAGAAAGTATATACAATGATTAATGAGAAAATCGTACGGAAATCAAGTAGCAAACAGCCTGAAATAAGTTTATTATTGTGTATTAGTTATTATTATGATTGTTATTATTTATTTAAAATTAAGCCGGTTTCGTCTTGCTTTGCTTATCACTAATCTTATCAAATCGTTGCGTCAAGTACACCACAAAACGTACATGACTGCATTAAAACTCCACTTTTTCTTTAAAAATGTCGGACGTTTCGACCCTTCACCGTTTTACTTGATGCAACTTGTTTAATTCCTATAGGTACCATCAAGATTAACGCGTTTTAGTCCTTAGAAATGTTTCTTAGTTTCAATCTTTATTAACCGAAAATATGGATTTACAGGGTTATCTTATGAGAAATCAAGCTTAATTATAATGGAAATGTGGGATCTTAAAGAATGAAACATTCGGCAAACCCATTTAATTGATATTCATTGCAAAATTAATCATTCCGGGGAACGATATTTGCCAAATCGCGTTTCCTTCCTCTACCTGTTTCAGCCAACTTGCAATGACTTTGAGTTATTAATAAAAGTGGTTCGGCTATTTTTAGCAAAACATATCTTCGCAGTAGTGGGGAAAAACCCAACGTTCAATTGTTCAGGCAATAAAGCAACATGATCATAATAACAATTATTACGCATCTGAGCCTCAAGGCTCAGCAGGTATAAATCGTTTTGGTTGGAAAGCGGTCCGACGTCATCAAATTTCGATAGCTGACGTCACCGAATGTACGAGTTGGCCTGGTCGATTCATGTAAACCTTTGATGGACGACCAATTAACTAATGGAATATTTTCGTTAAATAATTCTGACATTATGGCAAGTCATGAATTATTACTGTTGTGTAAGCTGAACTTGAAACATTCGCGATTCGGAGTAATCGTTTAATTCTTGGGCGGTGGGTTTTCCAATTCACATGTTTTGCCGCCTAAAACGTTTCAGGGTCCATTTCTTTGAAAAAAACTTTAGTTTGCCTTTGGCCAAAAAAAAATGATGAATATTCACAAAGATGTTGGTGCTGAAAGTACTCGCCCCGATTGCAACTGGCAAATCGGCCCAATGTCAACACAAAACAAATGCGTTTCTATGGAAACGAAGGCGGCGTGAGCGCAACAAATCGATTAGGGCCGGTAGGCCTGCACCATAGTCGAATTTGTCTTAAATTCAGAATTCAGTTTCCCGAAATTTCTTCCCAGGAGCGAAAAAAACCAGAACATGTTCTTATCGCTTGCTGTCGTTATCTTAGCACTTGGACGGAAATCCCGACCACGAATCCTATCACAATTCTATTCAACGTTACGGGCATGTTAATTTTACAACCAGATATTTCTCTTACTCATATTATTTAATTGATTACTCTGAATGTAGACGTTTATGATAAACTGGGAATTTCTCCATCTGAAATCTATTGTGGTGGTTTTTTTAGGGATTCTAACCCTCTAACGACCGATTTGGCATACTGAGAATATTCCAGTAGAATTGCGTGATTTTTCGCAATACCAAAAGGGCTTTACTTTGCTTCTTCAGAGAGAAATCGTTTCGTGATCATCTCAGGCACTCTCGGGGCCGATTTCCAGTTTAACCTGAAAATAACACTCCTAAAACCTGAACGTTAGTTCTCCCCAAGCTTTGATGGTTCTTCACACTGAATTCAATTATAAATAAAATGATTTAATGTTCAGCACAGTTAAAGGGCTGTTTATTGAATCCATTAGGTGAATTTAAATGAACGATTTACATACAATTACTGTCGCGGTTAAACACGAATCATTTGCGGACTTCCCAGCCTTTTAAATACATGTTTGGAAGCAGCAGCGTCTGTATGTTAACTGAATTTGCTCCTAAGGAGGCCTTGAAACAATACGCAATGTTACTGTTGCTCTTGAAAACTATGTGAAGTCCCTTTTAAAACGGTTCGTTGGCATGAGTTTGCTTGTTTTTTGGGATTTTGTGCATTTATTCCCTTCAAGTTCCTGGTCTGAGTCATAGCTGTGGAGGAGCCGACCAGTCGACAAGGACAATTGCCTGGATTCGTGAAATAATCATGGAGCGATGAGTCACGCGTCCCCGAAAGGCCGAACTTCCACCCAACAATTTTTCAGCTTTCCTCATTGGCCACTTGTTGGTTGTGCTTAGTTGGAGCTGGATGAGTCACTTGATTCATTATTTTAGCCCCAAGGGAGTTTATTTTTTCAGTTCCCAATTTGGAATTCATAATCAATGGCCTAGTTTTTAGTGTTGCTTCGACCGCAAAGCAATACTATGTTTTCAGTTTCCTGCATTAACTTTCATTGCAATATTTTTTTTGTTTTTGATTATATTTCAGAAACTATTTGAGACAGACAATTGAGCTTTTGTGTACCTTTTAACAATACTTGCAGCTACTTTGCGAGCTTTAACGTAGGTTTTTTGTGTGCCAGCGGCGTAGGTTATGCGATAAAGTGTGATTATTTTGCCCTAAATTCTACGCCACTCAGGAAAATCGAAATCTGAGAGCGCACAGTAAAGGAGAAATGTTTTCTAAACAAAAACTGGCCGTTGCTCGAATGCCTTAACGGCAACTGGTTTAGAGAAAAATGTCATTTTATGATGGAAAACACGAAGTCACAATAAAATTTGACTATTTTGAAGAAATCAAGTGCATTTACTTTCCTCACTAATTCATAAGATTGGTTAAAAATCTGCTTGTTGCAAGTAAGAAATAAATGATAAATATTTAGCGGAGCCAAACTGCTTTTCTACTATTCTGTTTTTACATGCGATTATCAGTTAATTAAGTATCAGAAAAATGTGTACAAAAGTTTTTCGGACTAAAGCGTCGTGCAAAACAATTTTCCTGACGTTTCCCAAGCACGAGTAACTGGGATCTTCATGAGCTCATCTTCAAACCAACTTCTGAAGATCCACGCCACTCGTGTTAATTGCGAAATCTCGGGAAGGAATTCTTTTACCCGACGGCCCGAAAAACTCACCAGTTTGTTCGCTCCAGTATTTATTTATCGTATGGGCATTGCCAAGGATTTGGTTCGGATGTCAGCTCTAATAATAAAACGCGTGGAATTTGTATGAATAAGAAATTGGTTGAATGGTCAAAAGTGAGTAGGTGCCCCGTATACATCTCACTTAGCACTGTATATTTATAAATTAGTTACAATAATGAGTGTAAATAAGTGAGTTGAAACACGGGCGTCTATGATCAAATAAGCAATTTCTCCGAAAGAAAACCGACTGAATAATTGTAATTCATCGATCTCTACAATTTCCAATCGATTAAGGAAACAAAAAATGACCGTTAGGAAAGGGATTCACCGGCTGTWATAATTAATTATTGATCTATGACTGCARTTTTATTAAGAATCTTGCAATTAGTTCAGTGTGGCGGCAATTTTTCACTATGAAAAAAGCGGCGCAACACGAAAGTGAGGCGAACATGAGGAGTCCAGACGGCTCCGGTTACCTGCTTATTCCCGCTGGCTCCACACGACAACAATTTTKYARYCWWTAGGTCTGGATKKYAATTTAATCAATAGGATAAATGCAAATGCAAAGTAACAACTTGAAAAACTGCATAACTGTAACTTGCTCTAGGTACGACACTACGAGGAGGAGATTTCAGCGCAAAAAGTAATTACAAACAATTTACAAAAACGCTTACAAGAAGACGAGAAAAACCTGAAAACTTCCGCTATTCATTATCGCATCAAGGAAAATAAATATACGCAGTTGAAATGGTGAGTTGCAAAAAATCTACTTTGGTGATATATTAGCTCAGTAGTAATTGTTTTGGAACAACTCCAACTGGTCCGAATATAACACATTAACTGGAGTATGCGAAAATAACTTCTTTGTCTTAAAAAATTAAGTTTCACATTGAATCTAAGCTGGCTGCTTTAGGAATAAAGTCTCAAGCGCGATAATAAAATCGGAAAATGCGGTTTTAGCTCATGTCATGTGCCCGAACATTTTTTTTATATTAACCGATTGAAATTGGCTGGTTTTGTAATGGTTTTCTTAGAACCTCCATCTCCATCAGTCAACAGCATGTATTAAATTGATGATTTTTCAAAACAATTTCTTGGCACGCCACCTTGAGAGTCAAAAGAACGATATTTCTTAAACAAATTTCCTGGTAATGGGGTTTTTTCGAATTTTTCACCATTCCACTGTCGCAACTTAACTGCTTCCTATAAACAGCATACAATTAACTTAATATTTCAGCGAATTCAGAAAGCAATTTGATATGAACACTTCCATGTCAAGTGAACTGCAGTCTCTCAAGGATGAGAAACTCAAGATTTCCATGAAAGTGGACGATCTGAAATCGCAACTGAACGACTACATTCAGTCCTGCGAAGTTCTGAAAGACATGAACAGTGAACTTACGCAGAAAGTCGAAGACATGTCGGTGGAGCTGAAGGAGGAAAAAAGGCACAACTGGTTACGGAACACTAAACACTTCGCTCTGTTGTCTTTGTCGGCTTTAAAGAAAATTGCTCAGGTGGTGATACCGGTCTATTTGGATGGGCCTGGCCGTTTCTAACGATTTATTTTGCAATGTAAGTGGTGTTCCAATGCAGCTAAACTTAGTTATTAATTAAGACCCTTGATGGTCAATTAGCGCATTGGTATTATTTACTTCTATAAACCATTTTACGCAACATGTGTTTGTTTTTGTAAAGTCGGCTTTAACTGCTAGTTTTTGCGTAGCTCAACCCACTGTGTTCTATGGCAAAGCGATAGGCAACCAGCGATACAATCATCAAATAACACCGGCAGTGGTTTGACGCTCTAAAATTGGGGTTCAAGACATGAAATTGGACCATTAAAATTTGGCGCAAAATAAAGGACTTTTAGGACTGGTTACTTCTTTCACATATGCAAACATCAGTTAAGTTTAACTCGGTTTATTTGTAAACAAGTCTACATGCTTACTCTTTGGGGTTGTGCACAACCAGAATTATGGGCAAAGTTTCCGAACATTTCATACTTCCAATACCATTCAGGACTTGTAATTGTCGGTTCGACATTTTTGCCCATAAATTGGGAAAATCTTGTGCCGTAACTAAAATGTATGCTACAAAAAATATGGCAGCAGTCTCTAATAACTAACATACAAAATGATTAAAATAGAAAACTACACTTTTACAGAGAAGATTAAAAACGGAAATCGAATAATATGGCAACATTATAATATATAAACATGCTTCCTATTCTGTACTCTAATAAGTACGGTTAATAGCAAAATATCACAATGTATTATTTACCTTAAGTAAAGCCTTATATAAAAATACTGAACGAAAATGTAGGTGTTAGACGTGCGTCAAGAGCCAGTTCTACCAAACATGAAAAACGAAGAAGGCCTTATTCAATATTATTGCTTCCGCCAGTTACACTACATAATAGTCATTCAACGGAAATAAATTACAAAATGTTTTAGTTCGTACTGCAAAAAGCGTCTAGGTAGCAGATTTTCCTCGTCTTTATCCAACACCGCCTTCTGACCTGATTTACAGAAAGTCAATTAAACACCTAACAACTAAGTGGTGTGTGCGATTAATAAAAGCAAATTAGTCTTATTCCTTCTAAGGTCAGTCTAATGGATCAAATTACCTACTACAAAAGGCGCAATAGTGGGTAGCAAAAGAGCCTGAGGCTAAACCATGCCGAAACCCTCTGTTCCTTCGCTGATGGCCAAAAGCAAAGCCTTCTCGAACTGTTCGTACGAATTGTAGTCGGGCAGACAAAGCTGGTTGAAACTGAAACATTACATGTAGAAACGTTATTTTGATAAAACCCGCATCTTCTCACCATGTGTGAGCTGTAGGCAAGTTGCCAAATGTCGGGGCTGCGGTGATTTGAAACTTAGGCGTGAGCTCGGCAAATCCTCCCGAAGGTAACTGAGAACACCCCGTAGCAAACTGCAACAGTCTGGCCATTTCCTCTTGAGTGAAATTGCCGACGGCAGCCCAAAACCATCCGACCACTCGTCTAAACTCCACAGAGTCTCCGTTCAAGACATGATGAGCGCGTAAATCGGCTGCACTGTACTGGCCAGTGCCGCAAAGAAGTAGCTGAAAGGCCCGTTGGGGAATTAGATGGTCGATTTTTTGCGCTACTTTTGCCCCGTTGCCCCACTGGAAATTTACTTACTTCCAACTCATTCTCATCGAAAATGCTTAACAAATTATCCGGGATCAGCTCATTGAGACCCTTGAGGAACGCCTCCACTTCATCCTTAACTTTATTGGCTAATCGGTACTGAGCCAATGCGTCTAGATACTGAAGCTTTGTACTGTCTCTCACGCGAATTTTAGCCCCATTTGGTAGCAACTCCACCTGCAGAGTCCAAAAATAGCGATTATTTTCATACACGGAGGCCAAAAGCACGTACCATTCGAGAGAGTTGTCCCGTGTCATCATACTCTTCCTCTACAAAGTAAACTTCGGTTTCAATTTCGTCTATGTTGTTTTCCAGCAGGTACTTGATTTTTGTCAAATAGAGGTCTGGGTCATCTTGCTCGAAATACTGGAAAAACATTCGTATTAGGTATCACATCGGGAGAAAATATATTCCCAAAAATTTCACCTTATAATGAACTCGCAGCCCAATAACTTGCGCTAAAAACGACCGAGTGAACCTTGCTCGCACTAATTGCCTGTAGGAGCCTCCCAGGGCGGTTTCATACAAACATTTGCCAACAACTAAAAAGTTCAGACTAATTTTCCCCAAGGATCACCTGCAGCATTTACCAACCTCTTCCGGCAAATTCATAGTGTTTGAGTTTCAAATGCGCCGGCCGATCGGGGTTGGGGTGCACTAAGGACTGCTGTCCTTCATGGAAGCTGGCAAACAGGCCATGCTTTGCATCAAACAGTTGAGCGCAGATCAGTTCAAACCATTCTCTGCGAAGTCCGCCCCAATCGATGCCTAAAATCTTCATTAGTCCCAAGGAAAATGCTTGCAGCACAGAATTACCTTGTTCTCCATAAAACGTAATCTCAAAGTTTTTACACCAATCGGACACCGAGAAGTTCTTTGTGGACTTCATGCTGCTTTCCAACAGTTTCTCCCGTCTCACTTCCATGGCGAGTTTCTCATGATAGTGCTTCTGATGGTACTTTCGCACCTCATGGTAAAAGAAATCCTGTTTATCCTGCAATAGCAGTTTAGGATTGTAGCTAATTTCGCATATTTTTGGAAAAGTTTTGTTACTTTGAACGTTTCAGATCCACCCATATTTTTCAGGAGAAACTGTGCAAACGTTGCCGCTATAACGTTTCGCTCTTTTGAGATCAGCTCGATTCTCGGCTGGCAACCGTCGTCAATGAGGAAAGAATCACCAGATTCGGTTAATTTCAACGTCTCCGACTGGAATATGAACTGAAAATTCATAGCAAAATGTCTTAAAAACTGTGCCGTGTGTTGAAATTGCAGCATAATAGACGACAGGTAACTAAAAGTGAATATCAATGCAAAAAATGGTGCAGTTTCGTTAAATCTTCTATTTCTAGCCCAATATTTACAGTGTGCAAAAATCAGGTTTCATTGCAATTTCAATAAAACTTCTAGGCTTTCTAGAGTCAAACGTCTTCTATAGGGCCTGCAAGATTTAATCTTGCATTCTTAATTAATTTTAATAAAAGAATTGTAAGTCGCAAATTTTTAAATTAGTGCGTGTAGTTGAGTGAATACTCTTTTTTTACTCCGGCGTTACTAAGTGAGCAAAATTCTCACTTTAGTATGATTTTATGATTTGAACAAAACTCTCCACCATTTCACCACCAAGTGTCCTCTATTCGGTGTGAGAGTTTCAAGTTGTTTCAAGGTATAGAGAATAGTCCCATTTTTACACCTGTGATTACAAAGTGGGCAAAAATCACGTTTTATTGCGATTTCACTGAATTTTTCTAGAGTTAGTTTCAGAGTCAATAATCTTCTATACGTAATTATGTTCCGTAAATATGTTAAGATATCTTAACAGCGTGATCTACTCATTTTAGAGGGGGTCTTCCAGATATTTTTTTTATTTGGGGTTTTGTTGTTGAGGTATTTGATTTCCAAAATGTGCAAAATGTATAATGTGTACCAAAATTGAAGTTTCTATGTTTAACCGTTTTAAAGAAAAACAACAAAAACTAAGACTTTTCGCTATTTTGGAAATCAAATATCTCAAAAATGAGACATCAAATTAAAAAAATTCTTAGGAAGACCCCCCTCTAAAATTACTAGGAGAACACGCTGTTAAAATATTTTAACATATTTACGGAACAACCTGTAGAGAGTGCGAGTTTCAAGTTGCAATCTGATGAAACTTGAAAGTTACGATTTTTTAAAGTAGAGCGTAAAGTTGACTGGATAGTCCCATGTCTACATCCACGTTTACAAAGTAGACAAAAATCAGGCTTTACTGCGATTTCAATGAAACTTTCTCGAACTTCAAAGTCAGGATCTTCTATACAGTGTGTGAGTTTCAGGTGGCTAAATTATCAGGATGAAAAGTTGCAGATTTTTAAAGAATGGTGTGTTGAGCCAATTTCCTTTTCTACCCTTGCAACACCTTTGAGGTAAAACCCGAATCTTACCTTTGTGGAAGGACACAACCTAAACGTAAACAATCTCTTTGGTATGAACCTAAAAAGGAATTCCTTGATAATGAACTGCTTGGGAGAAACGTAACACATCACTTTCTTCGGCTTAGCCAAGCGCTCGCCCTTTATTCCAATCAGTTTGGCGTCATAGCAAATGTTGTGGTTCTTCGTGGCCACGCTTTTCTGCACCAAAGTCCAATCGATACCTGACGAATTACACATACATTAATGCATACATGTAGATGACTGAGACCAAAGAACTGACTGTTTAGGACGATGATGTCGAAGTCCCCATTATGCAGCTCAGTGCCTTTGTACTTGATGGTGGCATGATAGCAGCCCTCTTTGACAAATTTAAGCTGCACGCTCACTCTATTGGTGCCCCAGTCGTAATCTAAGGAGATCGAGTACTTCTCTTCTATCTGAAGAATGTTTTCTTGAGAGCACGATCCTAGCGAGACTATTTGGACCGAGTATCCCTGAAAGTGATTCAATGAGCATCTCCAGATCCACTCCCAAGAAATCAATGCTAACCTCGGTTGGCTGAACATCCGACTCATATTTGCACAAATTTCCATACTGATCTCGCGGCTCAATGTACAAGAGATGGGCCACATTAGATGTGCACACTACAGTGCTACAATGTCTTATCACTACTGTGCGTTGCGCGTAAGCCGGGCCCGCTACAAACACGGTGAAAAACGGGCTTCCAGCCAGGTGTTGGTTGTTAACCATAACGGAAATTCTGCAAACCCCCGATTTTCAGACGAAAACGCCACGAAAATATTCAAAGAAACTCTTACCGATATTGACCGGCATGTCGGACGGTAAATTTCACTTTGGCCACATTGGCGCTATTCGGATCAGTTGGTGATCCCAATTCAGTAATCACATTCAACTGAAAAAGTGCGTTTTTTGTTAAAAATCATCTCATAGCTTAAGAGTCGTTCATACCTTTCTGGTGCCGCCTACTATATCTACACTAAAATTGTCGGTATCACAGATTGGATAAGGCTGTCCATTGCGTTGATAAAAGTTGACAGTGAAGCACATGGTTTGGCCCACTGGATGAGGCAAAATCCACTGAAAGTTGATCTGGAAAACAAGAAAATCCTTTAAAATCTCCGAAAAAATTAAGCTAACTAAGAAGCAAAATGTCTTAAAAAGCTGCCAAAAAAAAATAACTATCGTTAACAAAAGTACATTTTTTTTCGTCTCCAAAAGGGTGCTTCATCCTGCACCAAACACGTTGCATTTTTCACACATCGTTTTATGTTGAAATTAACTAAACATGTATGTTTCAAACATTTTATTGCCCTTTTGCACTCTGAAGTTTTATTTCGGGCCGTTAAATAATTCAACTTCTCGCCTAAATATTCCCCATCTGATTTCGCGTGATCTGGTTTCCAAACCGTACACTTACGCCTTTCGAGTGAAACTCGCAAGATTTTTTGCTGAAATTTTTATGACCGGGATTTGTTAAATTGACTCGAGAAAAGTACTTTCGCAGCTTCCTCAAACGAGAATAATATTCAAATAGAATAAAGCAACCGCATCTTTTCCAAGGCGGATTCCCCCCAGAGTGTTTCATGTAAATTTCAGCAGCTTTGATTGGCGTTTCTCTTGCTATTGTCCTACGATTCAGAAGAACACGGAGAAAATAATTGACGAACTTGGATTTTTCAGTATAATATACAGTTGTGTCTGTAAAATGTCTGATCAAAAGCGCAAATAATTCACTTTTATTTTCAAAGCGATTTTTGGGTTTAAGTGAAAACTGTTAATTTATAGGCTCCAATTCCTCTTCTATAGGGTGGGCGAGTTTCATGTTCCTATCTGGTCATGATTGAAGGTTACGAATTTTTAAAGAATAGCCTATAGTTGAGTCTCATTTCTGCAGCTGCGTTACCAAAGTGGAAAAAATAAGCTTTTCTTGCGATTCCAATTAAATTTTCTAGCGCTTCAAAGTCAGCAATCTTCTATAGGGTGGGCCAGTTTCAAGTCACTGTCTGGTCATGATTGAAGGTTACGAATTTTTTAAGAAGAGCCCTTAGTTGATTCTCATTTCTACACGTGCGTTTACAAAGTGGCATAAATCAGTTTTTCTTGCAATTCCAGTGAAATTTTCTAGCGCTTCAAAGTCAGGAATCTTCTATAGGGTGGGCAAGTTTCAAGTTACTATCAGGTCATCATTCAAAGTTACGAATTTTTAACGAGTGGTCTGCGGTTGAGTCTCATTTCTACAGCTCCGTTACCAAAGTGGAAAAAATAAGTTTTTCTTGCGATCCCAAAGAAATTTTCTAGCGCTTCAAAGTCAGGAATCTTCTATAGGGTGGGCCAGTTTCAAGTCACTGTCTGGTTATGATTAAAGGTTACAAATTTTTAAAGAATAGCCCATAGTTGAGTCTCATTTCTACAGCTGCGTTAACAAAGTGGAAAAAATCAGTTATTCTGGCGATTCCAATTAAATTATCTAGCGCTTCAAAGTCAGGATTCTTCTATAGGGTGGGCGAGTTTCATGTTCCCATCTGGTCAGGATTGAATGTTACGAATTTTTAAGGAAGAGCCTGCAGTTAAGTCTCATTTTTACAGCTGCGTTAACAAAGTGGAAAAAATCAGTTTTTCTTGCGATTCCACTAAAACTTTCTGAAGCTTCAGAATCAGGAATCTTCTATAGGGTGGGCGAGTATTAAGTTGCCAGCAGGTCAAGAGTGAAACTTGCGAATTTTGAAAACCCTAGCGTGCAGTTGATGCATATTGATGAACACTTGAAATTAAGTGTCTGGGCTTACCTTACAGTTGGATGGGTGAAGGTACTTTCCAGTCACATACTGCAATAAGGAATGCTTGGCTTCCGGGGCTAAAGACGGTTGTGTCATTGCGGCTAATGTAACCAGGCCTGCTACTGATACTGATACAACCAACATACCACCTAAAATTGAGTAGAAAAATTGAAAAACTTTGCTAAAAACACCACAAACTACTATTCTACCCCATGTCCATGCGTCCTGATGATGGCTGTTTTTCACCACTTCCGACCAGAGATCCGCCTTTAAAATGTCCAAATCAGATTTCGAAGTGGGCAACGATTGACGAGCGGCCGACCATTCGGTCAAGTCCTTGGTGAAGACCTGAACCAACGTGAATTGCTTACATGCAATAGATTCGGGTTGTTTGCATTTGCCCATTTACCTGGGTCGCTTTGTTATCCTCCAGCCAATAGGCGTCGTCTAATCGTGCGAGTCCCACTGCTAGTAGCCGGGATAAATATGCCTGCAGTCCGTGCCTGGCCAGCCAGTGGCGGAGCACCAAACGTTGTTGCAAAACTGCAGCAGCTTCGCGAAGACGCTGCTCATCTGGAGCGGGTAGTTCGGGCAGTTGTTCCGGTTGAGTCAGCAAGGATATGCCTAAATATACCCAAAAGTGATATATATCCTCAATAAAATAAGCTATTTCTAACTAATTCACTTGAGCTTTACCGCCGATACTACCATCTTTGCTCAGACTTAATCAGAAGTGAAACTGCATGGAGCGGAAACATCGAGCAAGGAAATGATTGGAAATGAACCCAAATCAAATGTTCAATTAGTGAAAGTAAGAGACCGAAAAACACACGAGATGGGCAGGCACAGGGTGACTCAAATTAGCCTTGGAATGGTCGATCTTCATGGAGCACGAGTTTGCAATGAAAATGCAATTGAATAATTTTTTTTCCACTTTACGACAATCAAAGTGTGAAGTAAACATTTTTGAATATCGTTTATTTCATTACGTTTCGGCGAGACAACAGCGCCATGATCAGATTTAAAATTTACACAAACTACAAACACTAATTTACAATTAAAACATGTATAGAAACTATAATTTATAAAGCGTTAAAACATTCATCAGTTCCTGAGGGAAAAAAATTCTTCCTTTTGGGAGAGCAAAACATTTGAAAAACTTACCTCATGATTGGTAAACAGTACGTTCTTTTAGGTCTGTGCCTTCTTGAAACCTTGATTTGTCTAAACTATTTTCCACATTTGCGAGAATGGTATGTATTTATTGAGATAAGCAGAAATAGTTTTAATTTTTCACTAGTGTACTGGTTGTTCTATATTTATGGCTTTATTAGGGTTTGGTAAATGTTGCTAAGATTGTCGGTATCTGATCTGAAATTTACTGCTTTTGCATGTTTTTTTATTTGCATCATTTCTTGGATTCTTCTTTTATGATAATTTGTTTCCCTAACTAATATATCTGCGTTGTTAAAATCGAAATTATGTAACATTTGGTGTGCATG